GTGCACATGCCGACCCGCCTTGCACGCCTTGCACGCACGCCTTGCACATGCACTCTAAGCCTTAGAGTCTCAGGGCCCAGACAAAGTTGGAGCATCAGGTCAGCACTGAAAGGTGTTGAAGGGTTAAGGGCTTGGGGGTTCAGAGTTTATGGTTTAGGGATGTTTAGGGTTTAGGGCTTAGGTTTTTTAGTGGGCTTGGTGCCAATTCCTAAAACCTTAAACCCTACACCCTAAAGCACTGGCTTAATATTATACTTTTGGGGCTTAGGCCTTTGGGGCGAAGAGGTTTAGGGTTCAGGGGTTTAGGTTTTGGGGCTGAGGCCGCTGGGGCAAAAAGTCAAGATTTTACTTGTCATAAAGAGAAGCATGAAGAGAAGATGTAATATTTAAGTTGGGGCTGGCCGGTATTTAGGTTTGCTTGGCCCTAGTTTAAGTGTGAAACAACCCATCATGGCAGGATGGCCATTGGAAAATCCGGGTTTGGGTCACCAACATGCGTAGCTCACTGTGACATTAGTTAGTCAGCTTGAACTGGACACAAGGCAAAATAGCGCAAATCAGAGAACCTACGATTGAAGTCCATATCCGAAACTTCGATCCACCTTGCATGGCCACTCGCGATCAGCCCATCCAGAGCGAGGATGTTCTGTTCCAGATGAGCTCCAAGAGTGGGTGAACTTTGAAGCCTCGAAGCTGGCGAATGAGGCAAAGGGGCAAAGCTTCCAAAGAGCATAGTTTTCTTGCAATCGAGCTGCGCAGCTGCTCCGAGGTCTACAGCAGCAACTTCGGAGTCCCGTATGCTCCGCTGCTTCCAAAGGACATTCGTCGGCTGCAACCCAAGGAGGTGGCAGTTGTACAGGTTTCCGGTTCTTAGAGAGATCTTTGCACTCTTGTGGGGAGTCAAGTTGGTTTTTTCACGCAAGGTCAAACACCGAGCATTCTACATTTTGCATAGCGCATCACAGGGATGGTGGCTTTTATCACTGCAGACTCAGATCACGCGAACTTACGTCTCTTGTTGTTCAAATCTGCCAGGGTCAGAGGTGTAGGCTTGAGTTCCTCACTCGTTATTGAGGACTACTGCCTCAGGGTTCGTGATTTTACTTTACGACGACCGCTGTACGCCACTGCAAGCGGTCCGGATCACAGCGTTGCCATGGCACAGTCCATCACCTGCGTGATCCTCCACCCGAGTGCGAGGCTGCTCAGGATTTGAGCCACGAGCGAATCTGTGGTGCCACCACACGGAGCTGCTGCAGCAAGCACGAGCAGACAGATCCTCCAAAAAACTGGGCGAAAGAAGAGAGAAGAGAAATCGCTCTTTCTGAGACGCAAGCTTCGGATTGTGTTTCTCAAAAATGCTTGATGTCCATCAGGCCTCACCTGGCCACAAGCTGAACATTTGAACTTCATTGAGTCGTGTTGTGGTCAGCACATTTGCATGTCCGTGGGGCGGGCGATGTGGGAGGTTGATTTTGCTGATCTCTGGATTCTGTCACCGCATCTTGGCTGCACATGGGCAGATGATTGCTGCAAGTACTATAAAGGACCGGACATGTGTTTGGATTGCGGATGGCTCCCATTGAATGAAACTTCCCTGGGCCTCGCTTGTCTTGGGCCTGACAACCTTTCGTGCAAGGCCTTGCCAGCCTTACACTCGCCTTGGTCGACGAGGAGACCTTGGTGATCGCCGTGCGCAGCCGTTGCGACACCTATCATCGTTCTGCTCCAAGACTAACAACTGCCCTTGAATTGCTTTGAAAGCAAGATTCAAAGTGAGGTTGCTCAGCCAGCTGCAGCAGCCGCCGCAGGCTGCAACATGCACCGTTGTGTGTTTGCAGTATGTCGAGATCACACCGCAGACTTCAACCTGGAGCACGGAGGCAATCCTTCTAGAAAACGTCGTTGGTGGAGGGCTAAGCCTTTGCCTTTGGCATCTAGGGAGAGCAAAGTCTGCGCAAGTTTTTGGGTCTCAAGCGCAGGTTTTGAGATATCGGAATCCTTCAAAATGATCACAGAGGCTCGCATATCCATCCGGAACAGTGCACGGCATTGGCACCTGCACCTGTTTCGCTGGAGGTCTAGATGCTTAGTTGAAGGTTGGGCGTTTATCTGGGCATGCAACAGAAGGTGACATCGAAGGGACACACACAGGACAAGCTTTCTGCGTAGCCTCCCATACGCGCAGGATCGCGCAAGCATTCGAGCCTTTCTTCTCAGCTTTGTCAGGCGCTTCTGCAGGCAAGATTCGAGGTGCGTGTCTTCGAGCTGAGCCCTTTGCAGCTGGGCATCTTCGCTTGACAAGATGCGCAGAATATGAGGAAGACACTGGAACGGAAGCCTTGAAACCTTCAGGCATTGATGGCACAGCCCGGCGAACACATTGCGCATTGCTCCATAACCTGCGCGCCCAAGGTATCCCAAACAGGCGGCCACGCATCTACCTCCTGGCGCGGCAGGCCAAGCACGAGCCTCACGTGCACGCTCTGGAGAAGGACCAAGTGCTTGTTGAAGCCGCTAGAAATGCCATGTTTCTGTGTGTCGCTTCTGCCCTTGCCCTGCTTCAGGTCGTTCTTTGTCTTTAGAGTCCAGGGTTGTGTGTACGGTTTCAGGCCTTTAGGGTGTCAGAGGTTTCAGGACCTAGTTTAAGGATTCACGGGGTTTACTGGTTTACGATTTAGTTTCCATTGCAAAGCCATTGTCGAGAACATCGATTATTATGCTGGCCAATGCAAGACTGTCCGCGCTATTAATTAGCGGGCCCAGTATGGGGAGCATCTATGCTTGCCGATGTAACAATGCCCATGCCAATGTCCATGATACCACAGCGTCCGCTGCGTTCGCTGTTCTCCTCCATCTTTGCTTGCAAATTGTAAGCGGGAGTTGATGTAGCTCGAGACCCCCTGGCACAGAAGTCTCTCCAGAAGGATCAAAGCGGGTGCCTCGAGAGGCCTTAACATGGCCGGTGCCTAACATGTCTGGTGGCATGCTGCGCGAGGACTTTCCTGGTTTTTCGCGAGCGCGGGCATCACGGTCACTAGCAGGGTATTTGCAGCAGGACGAGGAAAGCATGGGCGTTTCGGCAGAGAGAGACTCAGTGGTGGTGTTACGAGGCCGTGTTGGCTCGCCCCGTAGGTCTGTAGGTGTGATGCTGTCTTCATTCTTGAGGGGTGCAAGAAGCCTACAGCTTGTTCCTGCAAACATGTGGAAGATCAGAATCTTTGTTTCTTGACACCGCACGTTGGCACTTACTTGTACCTACGTATTAGGCCAAGACATGGTTAGCCAGGTAAATGCCAATGATGACAGTTTTGTGGAAGAAGTTTAAAGCATTTTAAAGGTATCTACCTACAAGCAGTCTCATTCAAAGTGGGAATCAGCTTGCAGGGTCCCAACAGAAGCGTGGCCAGGATCTCGACACGAGCATTTGCTCCGTCCCTCTGCGGATGCTCGAGCTCCTCGAAGCTCGAAACCAGCGTTGGGAGGCCCTTGGCTTGGGACTGCAGGAGACCTGCCATCCTGACTTACACTGAAGGGGTCGATGCCATACGGTCTATGCATGTTTACGCAATGAGGAAAACGATGCTTTGCCAGCTGTGGTGCCATGTCAAGTAGAAACCTGAAGCAAGGGTTCCTGTGCTTGCTGAACTGGGGATTTCTTGAAATCCATTGTCAAGATCCCCATGCTGGTCTAATGCGTACCCCTATTTTGAGTAGCTCCCAGCTGTTGTGGTGCAAGGTGGTATGTCCCCAGAGCACGAGCTCCTCCACCTTCACAGCAGGCTTCATGTTGTAGGTTGTCAAAATTATCGTCCCTTGATCCGTACTATCCTGCAGACAAGGGACCGCAATTTTGACAACCTACCATGTATGTCCACAAGGACCAAGTTAGGTCAGGTTGGCTGTGCAGTGCGGGTGCAGGCTACACAACTAGCTGCTTTGAAGCTCATCGATTTGGTCCCCTTCTAGCCAGAGATGACTCGCTGCCAGATGCACTAGGTGAGGCAGAGTCTGTTCTAACTGACCTCTACACAGAGTCGGCTTTGCTGTGCAAGGCGATGATTGGTGCGAACCCATCTTGCTGCCGGGCGGGCGCGTGAAGCGTCTGGTGATGCCGGGTGAGGCTGTGAGGCCAGCAACGCGTGCTTCGATTTCACTTAGAGTGATGTCCTGCGGAGTCCTGCGTCTGCAGAGGTATTTCACTCCTCAGGAGTTGCTCCGGATCGCCGGATTCCCTTCTAACTTCTGCTTCCCTGGAACCATAACGCCACACCAGCGCAGCTCAGATGAAGTTCTGAACTGGCAATGGCTTCCTTGGACTTTTCAGAGCTGAGCAGGAAGGCAGTGTTTGACGACCCTTTCCAACAGGAATGCTTTCACTCTACATTTACATGTCTTCATGTCTCCATTGTTCCACGCACGTATGTTTTGACACCGCTGATGTTGCCAGAAGCCGAGGCTACAAGCTCATTGGAGACTCAGTCAATGTTGATGTGGTCTCTGCACTTCTGAATTTCCTTCTTTTCGAGTGGACAGACTTGGGCCTCACAGCTCACTGACTCTAGGCGATAGTGCTGTGCGCAAAGATAACGTGCAGTTTTGGCATAATTGTGCCACCACCCATCTGTACATATGGTCTTGCGGATAGCTTGACCCATTTCGCAAGAAGGCCACGAGACTCTGCCATGCAAGGCCAAGCAGCTCAGCATGTTGCGTTCGGATTGTTTTGCAGATTGGAGTGCAGCACATTCTGTTGGTGGAACGCTCACCTGCTTAGCCCGGCTCAAGGCCGGCATGGAAACATTTGCCGGTGCTCTAGGGCACACGAGAAGTTTTTTTTAAATAAAGTTCTTTGCATGGTCAGAGCACAGTCAAGCAAAGGTCAGTCCTATAGGCCAAGGAAGCTCTCCTGGAAAAAGCCTTGCGCAGCTTGTGCCGTGCTGCGCAGCCTGTGGACGCGGCCTCAAACGGTGTTCCTGCACATTTCCAAGAGCTGTGGGCAAGATCAAGTTAACGCTGAAGCAGAAGCGACCAGCTCACATCCATCAGGCTACTCCTTCGTACGATCAAGTTTGGCTTTGCACATCCTGTGTTGCAGTGTGAGTCTCTCAGGTGCATCATGGCAGAGGACAGAACAGCCTTGCTTGTTGTGTATGCTCGTGCGCTACCAGCACTGCCAGAAGTAACAATTATGACAGTTGATATCGTTTGAACGCATGCTTGGTCTACGCTTGGTGTGTAGTATGATGAAAGCAGATGTGATTGTTTGCCGTGTTGCTCATGTGCAGGCTGTGAACCCTGCGTTGGTGGTGAAGACACGCAGCCACCGCCCAAGCGATTCGGCACTGGAGTGCAGTGTTGCTTTACAACAGTGAGACTTCTCTGACTAGATGTTGCTCGAATCGGCTACTTTCTGAAATGTCCATGCTCTCATGCACATTGGGCCAGGCTCTTTAAACTTGACTACGCAGATGGAAGTCTTCCTCAAGCACATCCAGCAGTCGTATATGCTCCCACAGTTCAGCTTTGTTTACCAGCTCCCAGAAAGAAGCAGGATAAGATAGCCAAAAACTCGTCAAATGTCGAAAAGCAAATTCAAGCCCCAAACCTCAAACTCAGTCCTCCCGGATGAAGGTCTCCAGAGAATGAATGTCCCAAAAGAAGCCAACTTTCTTCGAATGCAAAGCTGAGCTGCCTTTGGCCTGTGTGCAGGTGCCCATCTTGATTTGGACCCAAAGATGAAGGAGCTCAGGCACTGTACAAGGAGACCAGTTCTCTTCTCCGCAATTGGTAAGGAAGTTTCTCAACCTGATTCCCGAATAACCTGATAAGGGCCCCCATGATCCCCTTATAGTCCCTGCCCTATGTATATTTCCGGGGTGCCTTGCTGGTTGTGCCGACTCAGAGCCGTTTCTGATCGAGCGAAATCACACAGGGGCTGTGCAGTGTGGATGTTCGTACATAGGTTCACACGCGGAAGATCTGAAGTCTTAAGTCCCCTGCTTCAACTCAAAAGATTAGCGTTCTTCAACCTGCCAGCAGACTATGAAACTCCGGTAATAATGCACAGCAAGTCATGCATGGGTAGCCATCGCGCAGACGCATTGGTGGTCTATGGTGGATGCTTGCGAAGATGAGCAGACAGCATTGCTTAAGCAGCCGCTTTGACAGAAAAGCACATTTGATTTTGAGTGGGGTCTGTCTGATGACTCCAGCCGGGCTTGAATACTGTTGGCAGAACCAGCGAACGAACTTGAATAATCCTAAGAACTTGGCGAGGCGCTAGGTTTCTGTGCTGGATAAACTCATCCGCTTTGCCTGAAGAAGTGCAGGCACTGGACCACCAGATTCAAGAAGCTAGCACTGAATCTTGTGATCCGTTGCGAGCATGCAGCAATGCGGGCCACTTCAGGTGCTTGTCAGAAAGAAACTACCCCAACATGGGCTGGCATCTTCTCTGCTGAGTAAGGTACGTGCTATCTCGAAAGGAGGACATTGATCAACTTGCAGCTGCGGAGGATCCAGCAGAAAGTCGAAATGAGTAGATGCTCTCTGCATGCGTCGGGGGCATGGAATGACTCAGCCTGCCTAATGAGTGCGTCTCTGGAAGGACAGTGCCTTTGGTCCACTTTCCGTCTCGCCCTTTGTGCCATGTGCTCCCGGGCGCATCCCGTACATCCTGCAGGCTGGGACGATGGTACTTGGGTCTGCAAAGTTTGTTTCCTGAGCTTGGCAGAGAATTTCCGTTTTTCTATCAGGCGGCACGGCTTGGTCCACAGGAGTGACGTTGACGTGCAGCATGCCTCAGATGGGAGTTTTTGAGAAACTGCCACCTCTTCTGCAGGACGTCCTCTGGGATTTGGGCTGTGGAGACGGTGTGGTGCTCATAGAGGCCACTTGAGAGTTTCTCCAAATAGGGGTACCCTGGGACCCCAAGGATATACACGCAGGGATCATACGTTGAGAAATACCCACTTCCACGGACTGTTTTCAAGCAGTCAGACACTCCGCCATTGCTCTTCGAGTGTGGAGTTCCCAGACCGTGACCCGCCTAGGCAAGAATCTTGTCTTGTATGGATGAAGTTGCGATTAATTATCATGAGGCTGTCCAATATGCAAGTTCAGGAATTCTGCGCATTTGTCGCTGGTGTCAATTCACGGGCCTTCCAGACTATCACAACGCTGCGCTAGATGGTGAACAGGCAGCGTCCCGCTGTGGCTGCCGCTGTGTTGGGCTGGACATCGACGGGCCGCCGCTTGGCGAAGTGTTGTACACTCTGTGTTGGCCCTCCCTTTCCAAAAGTATGCCAGCAACCTACAGTAAACCTACAAACCAAAGCCCCGAAAGCTGAGGGCTACCTTGAAGCTGTGTAGGAGGCTTGTTGAACCGTGAAGCGCTGGCATGTGCAGGCAAGCCCCAGGCCGAGCGTGCGTTTTTCAACTTTATTGTTGTAGCTCCAGCATGACCACCAGAAATGGTGTCGGCTTCTGAGAGGGTGGAGGATCAAACAAAAAAAAATCAACAAAATATCTGATGATCCAACAAGGGGAACAAAATGAGAATACAAAACTGGCTGGCGTAGTAGAACGAAGCCAAATCCGGGGACCAACAAAAAAGCTGTTAAAGACTCATGAAAATCGTGAAACATAGTTAAGCATGAAACTTGAGCAAGAATGGACAGATGGAGAATCATGAAAAGAATGAACAACTGTGAGCATGTTGGCGATCAGGAAATGATGACCACGATGCACAACCATGAAAATAGTGAAACATGTGAAAGATGATGATAAATGATGAAAAGATGAAAAATGATGAAGATGATGAAAAGTCACACGAGGATTGCAACATGATGAAACATGATGGAAAACGATGGCACATGATGCAAGATGATGGAAAATCATAAAAAGTCATGCACAGTGATGAAAAGAACGGAAATCATGATAATTCATGTAGCATCATAAAAAAGCACTGAACATTGATGAAACATGATGGAATATGATGGAAGATCATGAAAGCTCATGAAAAATATTGAAAATAGTGAACATGATTGAAGGGTATAGAAAACTAATGAAAAACATGAACGCAATGAACATGATGAAACATGATGCACAACCATGGAAGATGATGAAAATGAAGTCGCAAACACATTCAAAAACGATGAAACATGATGGACCATGATTAATAATCATTAAGACCCGAAAAAACACCAAGTGACGACAAGTTATGAAAATGATGAGACGTCATGAACATGATGAAACATGATGAGATATCATGAAGTAAATGTTAATAAAGAAACATGTGCGGAATCATGAACATGAACAGGAATAACCAAAGCAAAGAACACATGAACAAGCAATGACACATGCAGACAAATGATGAATAATGATGAAAAAACATTCAAGAAACCGCGAAAGATCAGGAAACATCGTGAGAAACAATGAAAAGCATGAAATACAATGAACAAATGTGAAACATATGTCAATTGACCAAAAATTTGAAAAATAGTCTGTCATGAATAACTGCAGGGGAGATTGATGAAACATCGTGGTGAGAAAAAGGAATAATGCTTGTGCGAATGGGCCTTGTAAAATGACAGCGGGGCGGTTGGGAGGGGGCACAGACCCCCAAATTGCAAAACCTGGACAAAAATCGGAACATGTGCTTTGCAACGCTTTTGATTTGGCAATGTGATGTGACTAATGATGAGACGGGGATGAACATGATCAAACATGATGAGAACAATGATGACACATGACAAGAAGTCGACAAACACGACAAAATATGTGACCACATGATGAACATGATGAATAGATGTAGAGGAAATTGGTAAGCCATCAGTGATCCGGTTTCTTTGTTTCTTTCTCTTTCCTTCTTTTGTTCGTTCCTTCTTTCTTCCTCCGGCTCGGGGCGCTACAGCTAGAGTTTTACTACACAATCCAGTATTTTGTGTTTGTTGATCCCTTTTTTTACCACCTATTCGTTTTTGTTGATGCCTATGTTTTAAAAGCCCGTCTCCCAGAAGGGCTGAGGGCTAACAACTCGCCATTGCGGGAGAGTCGCAGCTTCAGTACCACAGCGGAAAAGCGATCCTGAATGCCAAAAGGGGAGGACACCGTTGGATACCCACTCTATGAGAAGAGAATGGACAACCTCAAGTGCCAAATCCACACCCTAAACGACCGCAAGCCCTCAGACCCAGAAGAAGCCCCAAGCTTTCGGCAGACATACTAGACAGCAATTCTGCGCATGCTGATCAACCAGCATACACCGCGCTCGTGACCATATGCTTGCTTCCACTGGCCCGTGGATAGGGACCTCACGCATCGATTGACGCAAAAATAGCCTGTCCATGTCCAACAGGGAGTCATTCGAGTATTCTTACAATCTTCAAATGTGGCTGCTGCCCGTCAGTGCTTGTGGTTGCGGAGTGCACGTTGCTGCAACAGCTTAGCACATGCTGTACTCATCGGATGGGTCGATCATACAGCCCTGGTCGTTCTTTCAAAATCGGATTGCCTAGCATATATCAGGGCAGTCAACACGGTGAATGTACCTCTGTCGTGCCCGGACTGCGTGCGCACCTTGTGAGTCTTTTGGCGCTCATGTGTACGAATCATCTTTGGTCTCGCTTCTGGCAGGTGCATCACTACAGCGCGACAGCGTGCGAAGCAAGCTGAAGTTGAGGCCCTGCGGAGCGTAGCCTCAGCAGCATGAAGTTCTTAAAGATTGTTTTTTGCTGCTCAGCTTTTTATGATCTCGCTCTTTGGAGTAAACAGGACCGCTGCACTTGGCTACGCTGTGATATGATGCAGCTGCCGCAGGCAGGCTTAGAGGAGACAAGTCTTCTTACCCGCAAACCAAGACTTGGCAGCACTTGAGGCCGGGACCGGCTCAAACGTAGAGTTTGAGGTCTACACATGTGCAGACAGCTGCTGCCTTCAATCTTAAAGCTACCGAAGACTATGTATGCCCTGCAGCGCAGAGACCTAAGACATATCATGACATAGGAGGTAAACTGGCTTGCTTCGGCAGGGCGCGCTCGGCGGGCTGGGCATCAACCAACGCAAAGATCCAAAGGACGCCTTGCAAATCTCAGAGCTCCAAATGCAATCAATGGCTCTGGTTTCGCTGAGCTTTTTTGTTAAGTCTGGTATTGCCATGTCGTTGGAGGTCTTGCTGAGAGCCTGGTGGTCAGTCCACGGTCGGGCGGTCCGCAATGGCTCGGTTTTCCCCGGTCGACTGAAAAACTAACAGTCAGAATCTACTCAACCAACAAATTGAACTTCCAGTTTGATCAATCAATCACTCTCCACAGTCACAGTCCAGCAAGCTTGAGCAGTCCTTTGCTCACTCACACAGTGACAGCAATCCAGTCTTGAGCCAAGAACGATTTGGTGTTCATGCATGTATGCTTGACACGTGGCATATAGTCAGGGTCATTCTGGGAACAGTATCATCTAACACAGTCCCGCCTTCTGTCATGAATCACATGGCAAGTCAGCAATGTAAATGTCATTCATTCAGATGCTGACTAAGCATTCCCAAATATCACTCATTCCGAGACGTCAATCATTCGCAACAAGTAACAAATCTTTAATCACAAAACTGACTAACAACATGTTGGTTTCATACCCATCGTTTTCCGTGCTTGGCGGCTAGAAAATGTAGATTTCATTGGCCAGCGCAAGGGATTTGCATGCC